TGAGCTCACATGGCAGGCAGGACTTTTCAAAATGCAAAAGCAAACAGTGGAGAGATAAAAAAAGGTGTTACAGTCATTATGAGTAAGATCTGTATAGAAGATAAAACACTGTGGAAGACAAATCAGCAAATCCTGATGAAGAGAAATCCTTACAAGGACAGATCTAGTAAACGTTGGTTGATTCCATTTATACCACACACACAAGTATCAAAAGAATAGAGGATTTCATTCCTTTCTATCTTCTCAGATTGACTAGGGCTATGAATAGTCACTGGGGTTTTGAGGAAGTCTGATTTAAAAAATACATTTAATATAGCAAGAGTATTACCATCTCAATGATAGAAAGATCAAATGCAACAATGTCAACACAGAAAAAAAACCATTAGATTACAAGGTATAATGATATGTCAAGGATACTTAGTTGAGGCAAATACTGTCTACTAAGTGGGTTTCTGGATTCTAGTGCAGGAGGGTGATTGTAAGTATATTCCCATATTTAAGAAGTGTCCTAAAAATTCAGGGCTATAACCATGGATCCTATCAACATTATAAATTTATTATACTTTTGTTATTATAGAACAGCTTCTATCCAAAATTAATCTTGTGTGATTGTGAAAATGTTTTAAAAACTACTTAAATTTCTGTGAACATATATTTTTCAATGTATAAATTTGTTTAAAACTAAAGCATGCTCCATGTTAAAAAGTGAGTTCATTTTCTTCCCTTAAGACATTAAAGTTTTATCAAAGCTGTTTTTCATGTCCATATATTTTTGTGTATTTATTATTTACATTGAGGTGTAATTGACATATAACATATTAGTTTCAGGTGTCCAACATAATGATTCAATATTTGTATATATTGAGAAATAAATCACCACACTAAGCCTAGCTAATATCCATCTGCATACAGTTATAATATTTTTCTTGTGATGAGGATATTAAGTCTTAATAAGTTTGTTGAATAATAAAAACCAACAGCAGTGCTACATCGTCATTTAGACATAGAAGTCTCCAAAGAGCAATTAAGCTTGTCACAACAAGCCTTCCAAGGCCAAAGTCCATAGGCCAATAGCTGCACTTGGGCTATTGTGTTATGTGCTGTCAGACAGAAACTGTCAGTCACCTTCCCAGGTGGGTGCTGAAGACGTAAATATCTTTAGATAAATGAATCCTGCTGGATCAGAAATATACATTTTAGTGAGTCATCAAACCAAATCAGTAGAGTTAATATTTTCTCTGCAAAATTGATTGAGGCAGTTTTCAAAAACTTAAAAAAAAAATGTCTAAGAAGCCATTCTCTTAATCTTTATGATGTTCATTTTCTGTCCCTTGACTTTTTATGCCTAATTCTAATCAACTTAAATGTAAACCTGAAAATTGCTTAGGTAAGTCTTCAAATCAGAAGCAAATATGTTTTCACATTAGAAACCCTGTCACTTAATATAGTGCTTATATCTGTGGAGGTTCAGTGTGTGTATTATGATGTGATAGACAGATTACTCAAAATAATGTTTCCATTTGCATGCTGTAAGGAACTGCTTCCTTGGGACACTGAATAAAGGACTTATTATGAACGTACAATAATTCATAGCATTTTCATAGCATGCCGTTATTATGACATTATACTAGTACCTAAAGGAATCTAGTTTGAGAAAACTCTTCAGTCAACTTGAAAAAATTTTCTTTTGCTGTTCTGAAGTCTGATTAAAACTCATTTGGGGATTGGAAATCAGTTTAGAACGTTGACTTATGCCACAGCCTGAAGTGAGGCAAAAATAGCTTAGGAAAGGAGAATTTAATCTGGCCCCAGAAAGGGAATGGAGTATAAATAAATTTTAAAGGTTGGTTATGCATGCTATGGCAAAGCTGTCACTTGACAGGTTTAATTTACAGAGTTGGCATTTAGGCTGTAAATAATCCAGGCAGACACTGGCCTAAGCAGCATTACTGAGGTAAGCCTTACATAAAGAGAAATGTTTTTGAATGGTTCCTGGCAAACACAATAACATTTATTTAACAAAAAAGCTATAGCAGTCATGCTTTTTTCCTACTCTAACATAATTGTTTTTAACTGGGCATGTTCAACAAACATTGCTATTTTTATTGTAGTATTTCTATAACATTGCATCATTGGGAGATATTGAATAAGAGAAAGTTAGCACAGAAGCATTCCAAAATTTCTTCTGTTCAAAAAGAGTTGTCGTATCATGTGTTCCTTGAATCCTCAGACATATTAATACACAGAGTAGATACTCAAGCTATGTTTGTTTGGATATGATCAGGTTACTTTCTCACCTAAAATCCTTTTGGAGTATCCCACTCCTCATTCTCCTAAGTTTTCTTCTCAGGCTCCTTTTAATATCACAATGTCTTTAATGATGGTGTTCGCTGGGGTTTTGTCCTAGGGCTTCCTG